AAGCGAGTATCAACCGTCTTCGCTTCTCATCCCAACTGGAACACACAACGTCTCGCCTTTCCTTTTTCTCCGTAATTGTTATGGCCTTTTCTTCCACCCTCTCTCCCTCTTCTTCTTCTATACTCTCTTTCTCCTTCTCCTCCAATCTCCGCCTCCGTCCCAGTCACCACCATCGTCTTATCGTCACCTCTCGAGTCCCGTCACCTCTCCGAGCCTACAGAAAATCCTCGAACTACCCCCAGGTACCCAATTTATTAGTTTGAACCCAGAATTCATTCAACTTCGCATTCAATTTTGGGTACTTTTATGTGGCAAAGGATACGGTAGTGGTGGTCCCTGATCCTCGCGCTTGGATCGGCGATCTCGGCGAAGGCGAGAACAATGAAGATGACGACGATGAGGATGATGAAGAGGAGGAGGACGATAGGAGCTTGGATCTTCTTGCGAGATTCATCGAGAATGTTTTCAGGAAGATATCTCGTCGAGCTCGAAAGGCGGCTCGATCCGTCCTCCCGTCATCCATCTCTACCAAATTGGTAATCTCAACGTAAAATTTCTTGGTTGGAGCTGTGCTAGTCACAGCTAGGGCTGTTGGGATTTGCTCAAAATTTCATCTTGAGATTTTACTTCCATTTATGACACCGTGAGCTTTCTATCTGCCCTGTTTCCACTAAATTATGAGTTGGTTAAGTTTTGCTAGAATTTGGGTTAAGTAAGCTTTTATGGATTTGGGAATTTGGGATAACTGGAGTGGATGAATGGCTTAGTCTCACTGATTGAAGTCCAGGTCCAGTGGGAAAAAGATGATCTCCCAGGCATCAATATGAAATTAGAATGGGAGATACAAAAAAATTGGTCTTCATTTTTACGTGGAAGGGTAAATGGAATTTGCAGATGCTCTCATTTGATTTGGAATTATTGGATTTTCTATTGGGAACCAAAGAGAGGAGCCCATGTCGATCAATGTGAGAGTAGGATAAATCGTGCGGATAAGCAACACAGAATTACCTCTTAATTGTACACCGAAAGATAACGTGGTTCTTCCATAACCTAGGACCATGTCCACAAGCAACTCGATAAAAAGAAATCAATTTACAACAGTCCTCAAAGTTTCAACCAAGCCTGAGACTCTGATAAAGATGGATAAATAAATGGCAAAATATAATGATTACCTTAATACTCCAAACCACCAACCCGCTTGAAGAAACCTCTTTTAATACTAGAATGCAGTTAAGTCTTCAAGATGGCGTGAAAAATTAACAAATCGAAACTCTACTTGCTTCTCCTCTTTCTCTTCTTTCTTTCTCTCCGAGACTCTACATTTGAAGAGGATAATGATATAGAAAAGAATGCAACTATTCATCTTTAAGTCAACTCATTACATAACTTAAGTTTCAACCCGACCACAAGCGGGTTTGAAATTGGGCCAACATGACCGAATTGTAATATCCTTTAGCAAATCTCAATGAACCGAATGTTGAGTATGCTCATGGATATGAACCAAAATCAACAACCCACCTCAATGCCCATGAGGGGTGGTGTGCATGACTATATCATCTAATATCCTTTAGCAAATTTCAATGAACCGAATGTTGAGTATGCTTATGGGTATGAACCAAAATCAACAACCCACCTCAATGCCCATGAGGGGTGGTGTGCATGACTATATCATCTAACATCCATGCCGGCTACCTTCCAGTAAATTTTTTGGCATGTCCTTCGTTAATATGTCATCAACATTAAGCAAGTAATCTCCATCACCAAAACTCTTCACACAGAAACAATGATCCTAAGCCATTGTTGACTTTCATATCATACAGTTATTTCCGTTTAAGCTAAATCATTCTAATTGTGTTACTATCTCTCTCTTATATACTCAAAAGAGATCAAAATCACAATAAATAGCAGGTAGAAAGCTGGGAACTTTCGTCAACCAAGATTCGATAATTAAAGTGAACTGAGAGCAACAAGCTAAAGCAACTGCATGTACTTTTATTTTACACTTTTGTAATTAAGAAAGATTAATAGGCAAACTGAAAGCTATAAGCCAATGCAGATGAATATATATTCTGATTTGATATTTCTTTCTTCCCTATCAATTTATGATACTATCTGAATATTTGCTGACTAACTGCAGTCACTTGCCAGTGTTGGTGACTTGTTTCTAGCTGGGCTATAAATCTCTTGATATTGTTGTAGAGCTGCATCTAAAGTTTCTGGGTGTTTTAGTTCTAAGTTTTCTTCTTGAATCTCTATTGCATCCTGAGATTCGATCTTCGGTAGTTACTCTTTCTAGGAGCTTCTGGAGTCATGCTGATGGGAAATGAGCGGAGAGTTTCGATCTGAACATGAGTATCGACTGCTTGTTGAATCTGACCTTAGTTAAATACTGCTGAAAATTGACAAACTGTTGGCTGCTAAAGGAGGATTGATGCTTTAGGCTTGATAGAAAAGCAAGAGGAAAGGTTAGGGGCTGATTGGTGGGTTTTGGGACTTTTCTCTGGGTTTTTGTGATAGTTTGGTAGTTTTGTTTTCCCTGTGGCTGTTAGCTGGATCTACTGAGAAGGAAATGACCACAGGTTTTAATGAAAAGGAGAGATTTTGATAAATAAGCCTCACACTTAAGGGCTTCACACCCTACTTAAGAATAGGCCTCACACCCGAGGTCTCACACCCATGGCTTCACACCATTAGCAGTTCACATGTAAGTTTCAAATCTCAAAATCTTTTTTTTATTGATCAAGTTTGCCTTCTCAATAAGGGTTACATCTTTATTTAAAGAAGAACAAAACACGACTCTTAAGGAAACAATATTAAATCAAATATTGAACATCCTAACATCCAATCCTTAGATAAAAAATAACCATCTAACAATATCAAATCTCAAAGGTCCTAACATGTAATCCTAAACAATATAAACATCTAACAAAAGCAAATCTAAAAGACCCTCTAAAATTCCTAACATCAGATCGTGAGGAAATCCTACTTAAAATAAAAAGACTGCTTTAAATATTTCTTTAAAAAATAGATCTAAATAAATCATAATAAAATCTTCACCAAATCTTAATTAAGTCCATAGGATTTAGATTTGGATCTGTCCTGCATAAAATCTTCCACTCTTTAAATTCGACGTCCTTGTTGAAAATACTAAGAAGAAATTGGAAGCTTCTTGTGGTGTCATTACAAAGACTTTGGATCTTATTTCGACTCTGATTGTGGTTTTGATGAAGGCTCGAGATCATGGGTCTTTCTTTTATGGAGGAGAGAAGAAGATGGAGATGGATCCTTCGGCTTTGATACCAAATGATGTGGAACGAGTGGAGAGCTTTGATCTGAATATGAGTATGGATTGCTTGTTGAAATCTGATCTGAGTTTAATATTACTAGAAATGACAAATTGTTAGCTGCTAAAAGAGGATTGATGCTTTAGGCTTGATAGGTAAGCAAGGGGACAAGGTTAGGGGCCTTCTCAATGAGGCTTACATCTTTATCTAACAATTTCCTTGATTGATTCGGATATTAGGAAGGTTTAATAATCCTGTTTCTTGACCCGTGTTTTAAAAATAGGCTGATTTTATTGATTTATCGCCGATATATAGGGTTTGGGCCATGTCCGATATGATTTCTACAAAAATTTATCGCATATCATTTTTTGGCTAATTTGTCGTGATATATCAGTGTAAATCCAATAAAGCGGCCAATTTCTCGTGGGTAAAAAATCACCCGATTTTCTACAATTTACATTCTAAGTGAACCAGTTCGGGTTTGGAGGAAAAACCCCTTTTTCCCCATATTCGACCCGCATCCACTAAATAAAAATCATGCTCTCTTATTCTATTTAACATCTGCTTGTTGTGTAACCCTAATTCTCTCCGCCTTCACTATTCGCTCCCCCAAATTGCTAGCAAATTTCTCACTCGAAGACCTATATCAACGACCTCTCTCGAAGATTCTCTCGAAAATATTTCATTAAATGTGCTTAGATTACATTTTAGGACATTTTATTATATATACTCACCCTCCGATATGCCACTCTAATTTTTACTAATCACCGATATATCCCTATAATTGGTATCCGATATGAATTTTGGCTATCCGATATATTTCTGATAATCGATATTTAAAACCTTGCTCTCGACACATGCATTTAGATATTAGGAAACCATTGTGTTAATCTGCATTTAGATAAATTCTGGCAGTTTTCCAAACCTAAATGTGAGTTGTTGTAGAGAGACGAAAGGCTTGTGCAGAATTGCGAACTCTATACTCTTTTTCCCTATATTCTTGCATGGTCATATGGAAACACTGCATGATCAGTTGGATCAATTCATTTTGAATAAAAATAAGCAGCGGAAAATCATGTAATATGTGTTGATGAAATACTCTTGTAGGTAGGCTCCCCATGAGCACTTCAGGGGAAAAGCTGCTAAAGTCAATCTAAGTTCTTGTCATTCGTTTAATGTTATCCTACAGAATATGTGAGATTAGAGTAATTGGGCTGTTGCATCGAATTTATCCTCTACTTACCTCAGTGTTTTGCCGAGAAGTATTTAGTTGATTTTTCGAAGTTTTTCCTGAACTTTTTTTATTGGTTGTCTGCTAATTAACTAGTACTAGGTGGAAGTTTTGAACTTTGTTCCAACTTGTTCAGTTTTACAGGGAAAAAGAAAAAAATTATCTTTTGTGCTCTTGTCATATTTTGGTGCTGTCTATTTGTTTCAAAATTTCATCATTTTTAATTAGAAAATGGTATTCCTGTCATCATTTTGTTATATTAAAAAGTGAGTGTGTGTATGCATGTGTGCATGGTTGGTGTGATGTTGGCCAGAGAGATTCCTTGTATGGCCAAAGGCTCAGATATGCTCATGACGCCATCTTAATTGTTGAATTTTTATATCTTAGATGTGTTCTTAGCTAGTTTGGAATCGTTGTTACTTATAATTAGAACGCTGCTTTTTCCCCCTGCTCGTAACATTTCTCAATATGATGCGGATACAGGTCAGGTTTTCAGTGAATGGAGTTTTGATACTGGCCTTTCTGTGGATTCTTAAAGCATTCCTTGAGGTAAGTCTCCATCTTTGAGGCTTCTTTTTTGCAGACTTGCAGTTGCTATCATTTCCTATTCTTCTCGTGCTTGTTTGAATGACATGTGCAGTTGTTATACAGAAGCATCCTGCAATACCATTTATACTTGTTTTGGAAAACGACTGAGTAATTACAATAATAATCTGGAGATTGAGCTGGTGGAATTGCTAGATTTATTATGTATATCATTTTTGTCAAAAAAAAATTCAATATTCAATCACATTCCAATGTTGCTGCTGTAGATTCCTAATTGGCAGTTTCTCCTCTAGACTATATTGATCTAGTTGTTCCCTTTTCGATCTATAATTTAAATTAAGGGAAGGCCTCTTTTTTTGTTTGTGAGCCACATTTTTAGAATGTTAAAAATGCTCTTGCACCTGGAGAAACTAACAAAATGCCTTCACACTTGGGAAGAAAGAACTACAAGCATGCCCTCACACTTGGAAAAATGTACAGATATGCCCTCACAATTTAAAAATCCAGGAAAATCTAACGAACCATCCATTCCCTTGAAAATTCGACTACAACAATTCTCAAACATTTTGTGTCAAGTATTGCATCGCATGCACCAAGTTGCTAGCTATTATGAAGGGAAGGCAACATAGCGGGTACATGCTTTCTGCCCTTTTACCCAATCTAGATATGAACAAAACTAGAATACCCTAAAGGATGAACACAATTTGTTGATGGCTTTTTTCTCTATAATTCTTTAGCTAGCGAACAGTGAAAGTTTTGAGTTTCCCTAATTATCCGGTGCTTCACTGGAAAGACAAAGAAAGTCATTGCTCATGCTTTGGTTGTCAGTGATAATTTCCACATTAGAGCAAGGTCATGACACTTGCAGTGAATTCATTCACTGTCGTAAAGAAGTAAGAGGATTGGGGCTTTATGATTTATCAAATAGGTTAGGGAATTAAATGACAAAGTCCCTCTAGTTATATCCATCTGCTCTCCAACCTGTTCTAGTTTCATCATAATTCCATATTTAATTCTGTTGTGGAAAGTTTCACCTACAAAGTATTTTTCTATAGACCAGCCATGCTTAGGCATGGGTTTGTCATGTGATATCTTCACCGAAGCAGTTTACTCCTACTTCGCTATTACCACCCTCAAACTTGCCCTATCCTAACCACGCATTCCTCTTTTCTTCTAGCTATCAAATTAGTTTCGTGTCAAAGGACCCTCTTCCACTAGACCAAAACTTCAAAGTTGTGGTGAGGGTGAGGATTATATTTTTTTACCCGACATACCCTCATAGGTTGAGTGCCCTTATTATGCCCAAACCTAGACTCACGCAATGATATCTTTTTTGTTCTTAAATTCGCATTAAGTACATTGTCAGTGGGAATAAACCTGGGTTGATCTAATACGATGTCAAAGGTCCGTGCAGCTATACTAAGACTCCAAAGTTATGGTGAGTGTTGAGGGTTATCATTTTATACTCTATATTACCCTCACAGGTTGAGGGCCTATTTTATGAGCTGAAGCGTGGGTTCACACATGTAATTTTCACATTAAAGACGTGGCCAGTAAGAATTGAACTTGGGTGCTGCGGTACCATGACAAAGGACCCTTCCGCTACACCAAGACTTCGAAATTGCGGTGAGGGTTGAGGATTACAATTTTATACTCTAACATTGGCCATATTTCCTTGTCATGACTAAACTTTTATACTTTGTAAAAGTGTAGAATCTTCTGTACATAGTATATGCATGCAGCCTTTGCATTATTGAGCTGGGTACATTATTTTTTAGTGATCCAGCCTATTGGTTACATGATGGATGAACACATCAATTTGAGCTTTTGCTCAACTTTAATGTTAAGGGGGCTTATGCTATAACAGCAGCTTTCCCGAGAGCTTTAGATGTACAACAGATAAACAAATGATTATTGAGCCAACCTCACTCTTGAATTGAATTATTACCAAGCACACAACTTTTACTCTGATAGAAGAAGCATAAGCTGTTTCTTCTTTTTGGTTTAAGTTTGTCAGCTGGCCGACAACTATGACATGATCCATTTCTACTGTCTTTAATTCTTCTATATTTAAATGAAACTTCCATGGACATTAGCGTACGAGGGTGCTTTTCTTCACATCTGAAAGCAAGACAAACCTCTCGAGGGACATTTCTTCTCAAAAAGACTTAACATTTGCCTTCCGTCTTCTGTCTTCTTTGGATCCTGATGTTTGTTATCAATGGTAATATTAAACTGCATTTTTGCGGAATTTATGTTTAGGTAGTCTGCGCTGTGGGGACTATGGTGTTTGTGAGCATTCTTTTTGTCCGTGGAGTATGGTCTGGAATATCTTACATTAGGGAGCGCCAATATTATCACTACATTGACAGAATGGACAATGATGATAGAGGTGCATGGACTGGCGCTCAGCCAGCAACTTGATTCATCTGTTGCATCATATGAGCTCACAAATTCTTCAAATTGGAGCAGAAGATTGAATAAAATTATATGAGTCATGTATTCGTAATTTATAGGAGGAACGAGAACAGGAAGTTAACCTCCCACTTAGATGATGCAGGATTGAACAATACTTGACAACAGTAATGGTCATGTAGACTATGTGGAGATAAGTTCTATGTATCAGTCTATTACAAGAAAATAGCACGCTGTTTAATGGATGTATTCTTATTCTTCAAGTAGCAACGTTAATCGCTCTGTGAATTGGAGCAGATCTACGTCCGACGGAGGAAGGATTTTTGTAATGATAGTTTTTATCTCTATGTTACCGCTCCAAACAGCGTCTTTGTGTTATGGAGAGAGCACATGAAAAACTTTCAAGCTCTATGCATTATAATTGCTGTTAAAGAGAAGGGTGACGTTTATTTTAGTTGCTTTAGTAAACACAAGAGTACGTACCTTTGTTTTGACTGCATGAGTATATGCTGTACCAGTCTTGGTTGTGTGTGTGTGTGTAAGGACCCTCAGACCTCAGTAATCCTCCAATATCTATGGATTTTTATTTCAGCTATTGGAAATTGCAATTACGTACAAGGAAAGTTGAGTACTACTTTCAGGATTGTAAATTGTATTTATATAACAAATTTTTGGAAAAATTGCTTCTAGGCCCCAAATTTATATTTTCAATGTGCCCCAGCCTCTCCTATTTTTTTTAATGTTCTTTAGCCCCTCCTTTTTGAAAAAAATATGTCCAAGCCCCTCCATCACTCCTCCATCATGATTCCAGCTCATTTCAGCAGTTGATTAGACATGCCAGCTCATGATTAGACATATCAGCTGACTTAAATCCCGAATTTACCCTCCTCTTTCTCATGTCAGTGGATGTAAACTCTTTTCTGTAACATGTTAACTCTTTCCTGTAATATGTTAACTCTTTTCTGTAACATGTTAACTCTTTTCTGTAAAATGTTAACTTTTTTCTGTAAAATGTTAACTCTTACAGCTAACATGTTAATTCTTACAGCTAACATGTTAACTCTAACAGCTAACATGTTAACTCTTACATTTAACATGTTACCTGTAAGAGTTAACATGTTACAGAAAAGAGTTAACATTTTACAGAAAAGAGTTAACATGTTACAGAAAAAAGTTAACATTAATGTGCCCATGCGAAGTTCCTCGGGACGGCGCCGACGACGGAGCGGGGAAGGGGGCAAAGTGGGGCCGAAGGAGTGCCAGTGGGAGGGAGACGGGGGAGGGCGGGGGGAGGTGTACGGGGGAGGAGGTGGTTGAGGGAGGGAGGAGGAGCTGTAGGGGAGGGAAGGCGGTAGGGAGAGGTGTAGGGGGAGAGGGGAGCGGAGGGAAGGAAGAGTGTAGGAGGGGAGAGGGGGGAGGCGGGGAGAGGGGTGAACGGAGGAGGTAGGGAGGGTTTTAAATGGGATTGTGTTATGGGAGTTTGCATGGGAACTGGGGAGAGGGGGCTTTAATAAGTTTTTTCAAAAGGGCCGAGTGGGCAGACAATGTTTGAGAAGTTGGGTGGGGGGTAGGGGCAAACATTAAAAAATTTATGAATTTGGGGCCTTGAAGCAATTTATACCTGGTTTTTTTTATTTTATTGTTTTATTATTATTATTATTTTTGGGTTAGCCATCTCATTATTTGTGGCTATACTATTTACAGAGCAGCATAAAGAGTTACTTTTGTTAAAGCTGCAATTTCTCTTTAATTAAGGAATATCATTAAAATTAGTTTCCAAAACCTACAGGATATAAATAATCAAGGCACAAGTCAGAAAAGTCAATGCCTACGCCAGCATCTGAGCAGATGCGTAGATTACAGAATCAACGTCATCACCAATATTATTCTCATCATCAATCCTTTTTTCAGTGAGAATATGTAATATTATCCTTGTTATAACCGCCATTGCAATTCTGGTATCATCCATAAGACACTCCAAATTTATTTATCAATTAACATATTTGGAATAACACTAAGAAATGAGAAGGACAATCTTGTTCAAAAAACTACAATGAAACATAAACTTTTTTTTTGTTTAGCCTAAAGTCTGTCACAATCAATATCATAATCATCATCAATGTATAATCAATAAAACATGTTGCGAACTTAATATAAAATCAATGCACTGGTTACAAAATCGTTGCCACACAAGCATATGAGCATGCATATTTTATGAAACATACAAAACAGATAATCTAGGGATCATCGATATCATTATCAGCATCAATGAACTATGGTCAATGTTAAAACATCATCGCATGAAGTATGGTCATTGTTATAACCATCATCGCATTAGCAATATCGTCTACGAGACAAGCTCCAAATATTCTCATCAAATCAACCTTTCTGGAAGGTTCCTAAGGTTTCGCTTGGATATCATAGTGTTTTCCTTGTTATGTTTTTGTAAAAAAACACTATGATATTATGTTTTTCTCTTAAAATATTTTCAAAACACAATGTTAAGTATTTTTGGTCAACACTAGTTTGACCCATTATAAAATAGGGGTTTTTGCTTTCAGACCCATTTGTTTACTCTCATTTATCTTTAAACCCAAGTACTATTATTTCTATCTTTAAGCCCAATTCACCTTTTGTATTTATCTTTAAACCCAATCTCCAAAATTTAAAAACAAGTGGTGAAAATATAGTATTTTGAAGATTGGGTTTAAAGATAAATACAAAAGGTGAATTGGGCTTAAAGATACAAATAATAGTACTTGGGTTTAAAGATAAATGGGAGTAAACAAATGGGTCTAAAAGCAAAAACCCATATAAAATAAGTATTAAACATATTATTAATATATTATATATTAATTATAGTAAAATATATTGTAAATAAAATGTTATAATATTTAGTTCACATTATTATAGTTTAATAAGTATTAAATGTAATATAATATAATATTATATTATAATTATTACATATTATTTTTAAATAATTATATATTTAATTATTTTGGTATATCAATTTGTTATTTTTGTATATTATATTAATAATTATTATATTATGAATATATTATTTTACATTAACATTTGTTAGCAATAAATTATTTTATTATTAAAAATTATTTTACTTTATAATAAATTATATTATTTATTACATAATATATTAATATTTTATATATTATATTACATTTACTATACAATATGTTATTATAATAATATTATTATATTGTTATGTTATTATTAAATATGTTACTATTATATAATATTTTATAATTATTAATTTATTACAATTTATTTATTAAAAAGTTAATAATATTATAACGATTATACTATTGTATAATATATTATTATTTATTATCAATAACTTTTTTATTATTTTCATTAGTTTATTTATATTTTATTATTATTTATTTATCATATAATACATTATTAACATATTAAATATTGGTATTTAATATGTTATTATATTATTATATAAAATATTATATTTATTATATTTTTATATTATTTAATAAATATTACTAATATATTAAGTTAACTATAATATAGTATAGTATATTATAATATAATAAGCATGTTGAGTTTTATGTTAGATATTATATTAACACATTCTCAAACTCAAAACCAAAACACCAAACTTAAAACACCTAAAATGTGTTTTGAAATAAGTGTTTTGTTTTTAGTTTGAGGATGATTTAGTTCAAAAATCACCATGGTTTCCAAACGCATGGTGTTATATTTTTGACAAAAATACCATGGAAACAAGTAAAATACCATGGTATCCAAACGGAGCATTAGGTGTTCAGACGGAAAATTTTAAAAAGTAGGTTAGAATGGACTTGCTCTGAATCAGAACTAGATGTTTCGATCCACTATCTTATCTTGTTTCTTTTATTGAAAAGCCAAAAATATAATAAAATAGATAGAAATAGTCTTTTTCGCTATAAGAATATTATGTATAAATCATGATGTGTACATTTGACTAAAATATGCTTCATAATTCTTTAAAAGTGGAGCATGATTGATCCTGACCTTTTTATTTTTACTAGTTTTTATGAACGTGCATTGCACGTGGTTAAATATCATAATTATTTATTTTTAGTTTATCTTCTTACTAAAATTTGTTCTTCGGTTTCGATTTTTGCTCACTTATGTCTCTAAAATTTAATATTGTGATTATTTATCTTCTTTAATATTTGTTTGAGTGGGCTACATGAAAAACTAATATTTGTTCTTTAATATTTGTTTGAATGTGCTACACGAAAATAATGTAAGGCCAATTTGAATATTCATGTTATTTGGATCGACATGAAAGAAAGCTTCATCTAAGGAAGTATAATGTTGTAAAAGTAGAAAATATCTGAAAAAATTGCATTATAATAGCATGAGAAATAATTAAAGCTAATAAGCCTAGACAATTGATTAGAAGTGGATACATGACACAAAAGAGAATATGGATTTTATTCATAATCATTGATAGATTTCATTGAAAACCATAAACTAAATATTAATGCTAACTCTAATAGAATTTTATATGATAAAAACATCCATAGAATAAGTATATAAATATATACTTATTTTTGCATTGATAAATTCTAGGAAGGTCGAGATTTAGATCGTCAACTTTTTGGCATTATTGTTCTAATTATCTAGATTACAATTAGACTACTAAATCTGCAATTGGCAGATAACTAAAATGTTTTTAAGAAAAAAACAAGGATGTTCTTTCATTTATTTGACACTACAATATTCTTTCCTAACATAGAATTTGAATACATAGAACATACCATTATGTAATAATTCCTGACATATGTAAAAGGAAAAAACGAGCAGCAAAATCACCGACAGTACTCGAGGAACAAACCGAGAATAATAGAATCTTCACAGAAAACTTCTGTAAGTAATAGCAACAAATAAGCACTAAAACATATCTAAAAAAGATCTTTTTTCTCCATAATTCACTTTATATATTTTCAACAGTTTCTGCGGCTGTGTTCAGCACAAATAAAACCACAATACTAAAGAATCAACAAATCCCTGAATGCATATAAAAATATAGGTCCATTAAAAGTTTTCTACAGTAGACTTCATGCCTCTTATCAATTTTCTTGTTGAGACGAGACTTCCCGAGTATGAAGAAAGACATGGAACAACTTCATTAGGATTGGAGTGCAAGTATCATGCTCAAAGTCATGACTACATAATCTGCTTGAATAGTTCCCGTAATTACGGTACTCAAACAGAATCTTATCATCAGAGATACTGATAACTTTGGGTAATTGTAGTGAACCTAAGCATTGCTCTCGGCAATTTTCGGTACAGACGCTCAACATCATCCAATTCTTGTTATCCTTGAGCATCCATATCTTCACTGAGGTTTTTTATATGTAACAAGCGCAATGCAAACATGCCCTCTTAGCTCATGTATAGTTATACAACAATCTCTCCTAAGTGTGGGTATAAGCGGTCGATGTAACTTCAAACTTCTCATGTTTGATATCGAACCTAAGGACAGCCGTGCATTAGCCTTCATTTTCTTCTAGTACAAATGACTTCCAATAGAGAGACCCATGTAAGAAAAATGGTTCCATGAGTGCCTCTGAGCAAGGAACTTCCCCAGTAAACCTCCAATCTTGAGTTTCTAAAGTGAGGATTTCACAATAACAAGAGACTAAGTTATGATAAATTAGCCTCACCGCCTTGTACTTTCCTATACAGGCATAAAACCCTAATCCAACCATGTCAAATTCCGTACGTACTTGAGGTGGGGAAGTTCAAAAATTCATGAGTAACCGGATTCATTAAATAGCAGACACCTGATTTGTTCACATCATATCCACAGGCCAATCCATTAACGAAATTCGATAGTTTCAAGTTGATCTCAAAGGAGAAACCCCTAATACCCTCGGTTGCATCGAAATTGTATAAGGTGACCTTTCCAAAGCACCTGCTCATAATTCTCGGACTCCTACCCATAAAGTTTTTGTAACGTTCTTCAATGAAGTAGGGATCATAAGTTAAGGAGCACCATTGTTTGCGGACACAACAAAATCTTACTAAAGATTTCACTCGAATATGTCGAACGTTATTTGTTAAGACTCATCGATAACAATATAAGCAAACTTTATTTTGAATTTTGAGAATAATGATTAATTTAAATAATCATGATATTCAATATTAAATCGATATTATTATATAAGATTATATGACCCTTTTTAATAAATTATAAAGTATATATATAGAAACCTCGATGCTTATAACCAGTAGTTGGGCTCCACAAAATAGGTTAACTTTACATTATAGTTTGCTACTTGTAGTACTGTTGGTAATGTCATTACCTTTCCTCTTTAAAGATTTCACTGGAATATGTTGAACGTTATTGTTAAGACTCATCGATAACAATATGTGAAATTTTGTGTCGTTTAAGACTCATCGATAGCAATATAACTTAAATAAAGAAGATACAAGCTTTCGTAAATATATTAAAAAAATAAATTATATAAGCAATGGTAGGAGAACTTGAGAGGAAAAAAAGGACTTGAAAAAGACAAGTGAAAAATAAATGAATTTAAAATGAGGAAATAAGGCTGGATGTGGATATGATTGTATCATATATATTTGTACTTAAGGAGGTATTTCATATACATTAGCACTAAATAATAAGTGGTTTAAGTCGATGTTTCCATGCTCAAAACGTTTTATAGGATCACATAGGCAAAATAATATGGTAATAAGATCTGAAACACTTTGCGAACTGTCTTTTTCCTTCACAAATCACATCAAATCCTATTATGCATATTTTAGCATTTAGGGGACTGATGAACAAAGGCATACAATTTTTAAGAAAAAAAATACCTTATGAGATATTAATGAGAAGGAACATACCGAGAATGAAATCCTATCATAACAGAGATGTTACTATGAAAATCTCCACTCTTCCTAAATATAAAGATCGTCGGGACTCGAGAGTCTCCATTCCACTTTCAAAATATGTTGAGTTCAGGACATCTATGGCATTGATAGACTAATGTGTGTAGTTTGAACTGTAGGTCATAAATTGCAACATCAAAATTGAATAATCCTAATACGAATCAAATAAATAAAATAATATTTTGCTGATTCATTTTTAATCAAAATTGAATAATCCTAATACGAATCAAATAAATAAAATAATATTTTGCTGATTCATTTTTAAATATGGGCTTGGTAATTTAGTGATTTTAATAAAATAATATTTTGCTGATTCATTTTTAAATATGGGCTTGGTAATTTAGTGATTTTAATGTGTTATGACAAATCCCCTGATAAGCATATATCAATCACACAAAAAGCAAAGAAAATATACACGGGTAGTTCATAGTTCAAATCACTAATTCCAAATCACACTACAAGAAATCTAATATAATCTCTCTAAAGTGAAGAGGAAGCAAAGAGCCAATACAAATATCAACAGCCAAATAATTTAATTATCTTATGGTTCAGAATATAGAAAGGAGTGATCTATGTTCCAAATTACTGTAGTTGTCTCAAATTTCTATCCCAGCCCATGATATATATAGCTACACATTTTTGTTTTTTAGACTTTGCATAAAGTAAGAATTTTAATTCGACAACAAATTGGATTATAATCAAATAAACTAGGCAAAGAAACTTACTGAGATCATTTGAATTTCCTTATCAACATTAGATAACAGCCAATAGGAACGAAACCACTAATTTTATTAATAAAGATATCATTATTAATTAAGATTAGATTACAATGTAACATCCAAAAAGTGTCAAGGGTAATAGGATATTTAAAATTTGTATTGGATAAATAGGATATATTATGATTAAAATATAATATTCAAAAGAGTTAAGGGTAATATTGACCATGGAAAGTTTTTCCGAACTCATAATTTTAAAGAGGGCATGATAGTGGAACAATCATAATAATCTCTGAATAGAATGAGAAATAATATAACACGAGCAATATTAGTCTAACTCTACTATTTACTTTAATGTTCTTAGTACCTAAGTTATTTTCTTTTACTTGGATGAATATGTAGATGACTCATTCCTGTCATTCTTAATTACTATAGTTAAAGATTTTTGTTATAGGCAAAAAGCTCTCATGGATCAATATACATAACTTTGTAGCTCATTCTGTCATAGTTATTACAGAAGAGACAACGTTCAACAACCTAAAACCCTCATCTATAAGTATCTCAAAGAAGTAATGGTGATACTAACGCCTCGTTTGGTACGCGGGAATGGACTCAAATGAGAATGAAATGGAAGAAAGAATAGAATGGAATGTATGTAGGAATGGAATGGTCATTCCCATTCTCTTGTTTGGGTGCATTTGTAGAATGAAGCTAGAATGAAAATCTCATTCTTATTCTCATGTTTCGTATCACTAGTTCACAAGTGAGAATAAAATCTTATTTTCTAATAATGCCCTTACAACAACATAGATTTTTAATAAGATAATAATAAACATTAATGATAATAACTAAATAATTTTATTTATGCATAGATTATATTAATCTATCTATGTGTTATGCAATGCACATGTTATCTCTCAGGTGTATGTTCCATTTTTTTTAAACAATGCTCACTATTTCTTAGTATTAAAAAATTAAAGAAAAAAAATTAAAGAGTATCACATCTTTCATAGGTCCAAAAAAATATAAATAATGATATCCACCATCCACAGTTCTAGATATATAAATTAACTCATTTGATAAAGTATCAAAATCACCCATGACATAATAAAAAATCCATAAAACAATACCAACTAAAATAATCAAGTTTCAAAATAGCAAAATGATATACTAGCCTAAATTGCTAATCTAAAATTGCCCACTTGCATATCGCCTCACCCAAATATTCTTCAAATCATCACTGAGTGTGAAGAACAAATCCAGCAAATCACGGTTAGTACCAATCGCCTCTATCGCTGTCAAACATTTGTCCATAGGTAAATTCATATTCATTATCTATTCTATAAACCTCTTTCTCTTCTCAGTCAAAGCCACTTAATCTAACCCATCCTTAATTAATTGGCTCGACCTAAAAAGTTCACTTCCTACATATGCAGAAGATTCCCTCATTATCTCGATTGACTCGCTATCCCCCGATAACCATCTCTTCTTTTTATGCTTGGAGAAAGCTTCACCCGTGTTCTAAGGTATTACCTCCTGAGAATGTGACTCGGTATATCATCAGCATCAATATCATGGCCAGCTTTCCTATCAAGTTCTTCTATAACATCATATGGGTGTTCCATTCCCTTTCTTGTTGCTCGATCCTTACCAAACACAATAGATAAGGTATCAAGGTGTGGAAAAGCTTTCTCTTGAATTGTGTAGCATTTTTGTGGGCCTGCAATTAAATTCGTTTAAAAATCAATAGTCATTAATTAAGAAACTACCAGATATAATAAATTTAACATGCTAGATTAAAATTTGAATAACTAAATACCTTTAGATATTCATCCCATACTGCTTTTTCAGTAGTTACACATTGCTTTGTTTCATCCCATCCAAAACCATTGTAGTTGAGCATATCAAACACAATACTGATTGTGTCTTAAGAGTTTTCATCCTTGATCTGATATGCGGATCAGCCTTTAACCCTGAATTGGGTAGTGAAATGGCAAGTAACCTCTCAACAACATTATAGTGTCGAGACTTGAAACCACGATTAGCATTGTACTTTCCAGTTTGGTGTAACTCCAACAATGCATCAACCAACTTCTGGTCTTCCTCAACTATCCATGTTCGCTTATTCTTTCCAGGTCCTCGTTGATCTTCTTGATCCATTCCTGAATAGTTTATAAACCATATAATAATTTTTAAATTTACATCATCATAATAGTTTTAAAATAAGTCTTGCTTTGATGATTTGTGAAAGTAAGCAAATCTTTTGATTTGTAGCAAGTATAATGAACTTATAACTTATGAATAAAATGAGTCATGTAACAAAAAAAGCACAATAATGTTAATTCTAATTAAAATAAATGTCAAATACAATTTGAAAACAACATGATAACATAAACTTGAATACTAACTAATAAAATATATCTAATGCCACATCATCAATGATATCCTCTGATAAGCTACTCTTCTTCCCCTATCCACTGGTCATACATCAAATTTGTGAGGTTATCTCGATATGAAGTCCAAGCTGTTGTAGTTTTAACTGTGGCGATTGAATCATTATTAGCCATTTGAGTTGTTTCCTCTATAACATCAAGACTCTCTTCAAATAGATCAATCTCCATTTCTCTCCTTATGTAATTATGTAGAAGACAACATGCCATGATTATTCGATTTTGGGTCTTTATAGGGTAAAATGAAGAACTGCATAAGATCCCCCATCTTAATTTAAGCAATCCAAAACATCTCTCAATAACACTCCTAGCTGATGCATGTTTCATGTTGAAAAACTCTTGCATAATTGTAGGTTGGTATCAGTCTCTCCATTCGTTCAAGTGGTATCGTTAACCTCTGTATGGGGCAAGAAAACCTTCACAATTTGTGTATCCAGCATCAACTAGATAGTAATAACCTATGATTAGACAAGTTAAAAATGTATTTAATTAAATACCAGTGGAGTTGATGATTAATAAACCCAAATGAAATACAAATTATAAGTAACGTACCACATGAGACTTTTAACCCATTTCTTCTAGTTATTGCTTCTCGAAGGACTCTACTATCAGCAGCTGACCCTTCACAACCGGGTAGTATATATATGAATTGCATGTCTTGAGAACATACACCCAAAACATTTGTAGCAATTTCACCCTTTCGTAAGTATATATATGAATTGCATGTCTTGAGAACATACACCCAAAACATTTGTAGCAATTTCACCCTTTCGTGTTCGATACCTAGATTTTTCCTCCACAAACATACACCCAAAACATTTGTAGCAATTTCACCCTTTCGTGTTCGATACCTAGATTTTTCCTCCACAACTACCCTCACCCTTATGTAAGTCCCATCTAAAGCTCCAAGACAATTCTAGACATTAGGGAAATTTTAATGTGTTAGATAAACTTATAAAAATTGATAAATACAAATGCTACTTATATTGTAGATTACCTTAAACCATTCCCACCTCGCATCTGTTGAGTCAATCGGCACTAGCTCGGGTTTCTTAATCAAAATATCGTGTAGACATATTACGACGTGTAACACATGAGTAAAATGCCGACTAATAGTTTCTCTTGAACGTTGGAACATTTGTTTTATGACTCTGATCTTCACATGGTGGGTGAGAATATGTAGAAACATTGATACTTGCTCATCTACTAACATATTTTTTGTATCATTTAGTCCTACATTTTGCAGCATAGTGCATAACTTCCTAAAAGAGTTCCTATACATTCTAAGCTGATCATAGCAAGTTACTTCACTTGTATATGCTAGACGATATACATTTTTCCTTTTAGAATAAAAATCTATCAAATATCGCTCTCTTAGTGATTTTTTTCCATGTAAATTTTCATTATGTGAGATGAAAATAGGAACCACCAAGCCACTATACTTTGCACATTTCTCATATGTGCTTGGACAGCAACCAACTTCTTCAATTTTCTCCGTTCGCCATCAGAATCCATAATATGATATATCCTGACTGCAAGTGTAAAGGAGTACATTCATTTTGGAATGTAAACTATTTAAATAAACTCTTAATGAGAATTCTTAATAATAGAGATATTGTTGATTATGATAAGAGAATAATACAAATAAAATGCTCGTAGAGTTGTGTGATCGTAGGCAATAAGATTCATAGGATAATACAGATAATAATTCAGCATTAATATGATGAAGTATATAAAATTTTACAATAGGGTATATTTCTTAATATCATGAAATGGCAATTCCGGTTGTTTAATAAAATTTTCATAATAAGCTAACTATCAAATTCAACATTAATAGAAGAGAAATAAGCTATGCACTCTACAACAAATCATCAATAAATTTAATGTAGAATTGAAGTACATGAATAATTTGTAGTAAACTTCTTATCTTTAATACTGTCTAGCATTTTTATTGTTGTTTACCCGTGCATATGGATTAACTCCATACTGCTTACTAATAATTTTCATAGCATCCAACAACGAAATTGTAAGTAGTGTAGTTAGTAACACATTCATATTGTTAGCCTTTTTGTTTTGATAATGTTTTAATAAACAAATTACAACTAATATTGTTTATCTAGTGTTTGTGTTTTCGTATTTATTCTAGGTAAAAATTGAGTTGGAGGATGGATGGAATCGAGCTTTCACGATCATATTCAATGGAGGTTGACAGAATATCGGTAGGAAGCCATTGCACATCAAGTCATATTCAAGATCAATATCATCCATGTTTACCAAGACGAGCTTTATTGAAGATCAATCTTGGGTATAATGTTTATACTCTGTGTGTTAATGCTTAAAGCTCAAACATTATACACATACACGTTTTCGGTTTATCACTTTCAAGTTAAATTATTTTTTATTTTACAAAATAATATGTTTATGGATTAAAGACTTGTTTACACTATTTTATATCTTTTCTCAAGTCTATTAATCTATTGGAAAGTATTTCAAAACTTGTTTGGAATAAGTTTCATCAAAATCAAGTTTTGACAATTTTGTATTCTTGAATAGTTTACAAAATAAATTAGATTTCACAAATGGGAAATTAAATTTAAAAATTCTTTTTGTAAAATTTTCTATTACATATTTATAATCATTTCCCAAAAATTTATCATTTTTGGAGTTGATTTACTATACTGAATTGATTTTATAAAATTAAGTATTTTAGCAGTTTTTAGAATCTGGAATATCTATTTTAAAATATATTTTTCTCACAAATGGAGAGTGATATTTTCGAAATTACTTCTCTAACATGCTCATGTACATGTCTGATACCTTACTTCAAACTTTCATTATTGTTGGAGTTGATTTACTATTTTTAATTAATTTTTTAATACCAGATACGCAAATTTCCAGAATGCTGGATTTTGGGGTATTTTGGTCTTTTCAGCCTATAACGGCTAGTAACGGCTAGTTTTTATTCTCTTGGGTTTTTTTAGCTGGTTTAAGAGGCTATAAAAAGTCCTCAACTTTCATTGTTTATTATGGATGTTTATGAGAGTTTCAAAACAAGTTTACAAGTATTTTAGTTTGTTTTAAGTGTGTTTAAAGTTTGGTTTTCAAGTGAAGAAAGTTTCACAAGAGGAGAAGATTATCCTTTGGTGTTTTGGGCTTCAATTTCACATCTCTCCATCTTGTTATTTAGAGAAGTTTCCCTAAACTCTTTCTACCTTTATATTTATTTTTTTGTTAATTATTTTTATTAAAGCTAGATTTATATTGAGTTTAGATTTGTTTTACTCATTGCTTACACACACAACCATTAAGCTTTAGTATTTTCATACATAGTATATTTGGGTTGTAGGGTTGTGCCTTGAGAGTGAGCTTATTTGTGTTCTCATCCATATTAGAGAACAAATTATTGTATTGAGCTTTCATTGTGAGGATACACCTTTGTAATACACTTGTACACCGAGAGGAGTGTGTGGTGAGAGACGGGGTCATCCCAAGAGGAGTGACGTCGGTAGTAATACCTAGGGAGAGGTTATAAATCCGAATACTTGAGGGAGACACGGGCTAGAGACCAACACTTAGAAGGTATAGAGTGAGATTACAAGAGTGTTGCTTGTAAAGTTTTTGGTCAACTAGAAAACCGAGTGTGAGGTGTAAACGTTTTTGGATGAGCATCGAAAACTCGGTGTGATAGTGGATTTCTCCCCGAGAGTGGGGAGTGAAGACGTAGGACGGAAGGTCCAAACTCTGTAATCATTTCTTGTGTGTTTGAGTTTGGCTTGTGCACTTATATTTGTTTATCTCTATCGTCATTCTCTTATTGTCTAATTTATCCACTATATTGTTTGTATTTGTTTATTCTTGCATATAATTTTTGCATATCTTATTTGCTAGGATATCTTGTTAAAAAGTTTTAATTAGCATTAAATCGGATTAGATTAGCATAAGACCATATTCATCCCCCCTCTAGGGTTCTTTCCTAGTGGCATTAGGTTCTAACAATTGGTATCAGAGTTTGGTGCTCTTTGATTTAAGGTCTAATCGCCTTGAGTTAAAGATCCAAGTTATCTTTTGTGCTAATCTAGTTTTAAGATTTATTATTATCTTGCTTGCATATATATATATATATATATATATATAATTTTAATACATTTGATTTGATTATTATACACTTAAAATTAAAAATCATATATCATATAAAAATATATGTTACCAAAAATATTGTCATCTGATGTTTATACATTCTTGGTCTAAAGAATATATAATGCCAACTCTAAATTTCCTAGATTAAGAATCACCAATTTAATATATTACTAAATTAGTTAAATATCTCTTTCCAAAGTTTTGTCAAAGGAAAATTTTTGCAAGAGGTCAATTTATTTTGTGTCTCGAGGGAGTGTTATTTTGGAAAAGTAAAGTAGCTTAAATTGGTCTTGCTATTATCTATTTTTTTCATTTGTCATTTTTCTTCTTGTTCTACAAAAGAAAGTAAGTCTTTATATTTACAAATTCTCTTTTAAGTTGAAATTTCTATGCAATTTATCAAAATTTTCATTACAACTTCTACCCATATATAAATATATATTATTAAGGGCCCGTTTGGATCGGGTATTTTGAAGGGGAAAGGAGGAAGAAAGCTGCCAATTTGTCAGCGCAGCTTTCGATTTTGGGGGAAAGCTGTCAAAAAGCTGACAAATTGGCAGCTTCCCCCCTCCT